CCCCCCCCCCCCCCCCCCCCATGCTCCCGCGCGCCAGGCCCTGCATGTGCATAAGCACTTCGGGGAGATGGCCGACGTCCGGAGCGCCTGCCTGGCAACACTGGTGGTGCTGGTCAGCCGCCGGGCCAGGCATACAACCGACACCACCGGCGAGCCCTGGTGGGCGGCCTCGGTCATGCTGAGCGGCTTCCTGCGCTTCTGTGAGCTCCTGCTGCCGGAGGCGGCGGCGATCATTGCCCTGGCCCCGGCGCTGCCACATGCGACCGTGCGGGCGGAGCTTCGCCCCGGCTCACGGTTGCTGGCGGCCCTCGGCCATGCGGCCGATGCGGCGGTGGCCTTCACCGGCGGCAATGCCGGGGCATGGCCGTTGCCTGCGTCGCTCGAGGAATTCGCCGCCTCCTCGCTCCGGCCCCAGTGCCGGCGCTTGGTGGGGCATTTCCTCGCCCACGGCGATCCGCTGGGCTCCTGGACCCTGGCCACGGCGGCGAGCTCCTTTGTCGCGACCTTTGCCGGGGCGGCGACGGGCCCCGCCGCGCCTCCCCCGGCTGCCGATGTGGACATGGCCCACGAGTGAGCCCCTTCCCTGGCCGGGGGAGGGGGCCGTGGCGGCTCGCCCCCATGCATGCAAATGTCCCCCTCCCCTGCCCTGTTGCAGCCACCATCATAGAGACTGCCAGCCGGGGGAGCAACAGCCAGGAGGCGGGGGCGGTCTTTTTCCCTTTGTCCCTCCCCCTGGGAGAATGCATGCCCCGCGTATGGATTGCCTTTGTATGTGTGTGTGTGTGTGTGTTTATTCCTTTTCCGGTCCTCCCCCCAGCCCCCGTGGCCAGGTGGCGAGAGCAGGCTACTCGGCACTTTGCAAGTGCCCTCACGGGAGCGGGGGGGGGGGGGGGGGGGGGGATTGTGCCAAGGGGTGGTGTTTTGTCTTGGGCCCCCGGACGAGGCGGCTCAAATGGGCGGCTCCGGGATGGGCAGGTCCCGCAGGACGTCCTGGAGCTCGGACACCAGGTCCAGCATGGCCTGCTGTGTCTCCCGCTGCTGGCGCTGGGGCCGGGGCGCCGGGCAAAGTCGAGCAGGGGTGCTCCAGGGGGGTCAGAGGCCGGGCCGGCAGGGTGCACATGAAGGGGCATGCTGCGGTGGATGTGCGTGCGGCGATGCGAACCTCGACCTCCAGGCGCGCCTTGCGCTGGGCGATGCGCTCCTCGCGCGAGAGGGTGGACTTTGGCCGGGGGAAGTCAGCCGCGCGGTCGTCATCCTCGTCGGCTCCGGCGAAGACAAACCACTGGCTCGGCTCCGGGGGCACATCCTCAGGTCGCGGGTGACTCCCACCCTCGGTGACATACTCTGAGGGGGCAGACGACACGCGCGGGAGGGGAAATGGACAGCGGGGAGGGCGCGCGCGCGCGTCAGCATGACAGATAGACAGAAAGA